GCAGACGCTTGTCCCCCGCCCCGGGTCCCGGCGACGCCCCGGCCTCTCGGCCGCGCTTCGGTGGACGCGGCGAGGGCCCCGGCGGGCTCAGTTCTGCCTTTGGGACGCTCGACGGGGTCGGTTCTGCCTTTGGGACGCTCGACGGGGTCGGTTCTGCCTTTGGGACGCTCGACGGGGTCGGTTCTGCCTTTGGGACGCTCGACGGGGTCGGTTCTGCCTTTGGGACGCTCGACGGGGTCGGTTCTGCCTTTGGGACGCTCGACGGGGTCGGTTCTGCCTTTGGGACGCTCGACGGGGTCGGTTCTGCCTTTGGGACGCTCGACGGGGTCGGTTCTGCCTTTGGGACGCTCGACGGGGTCGGTTCTGCCTTTGGGACGCTCGACGGGGTCGGTTCTGCCTTTGGGACGCTCGACGGGGTCGGTTCTGCCTTTGGGACGCTCGACGGGGTCGGTTCTGCCTTTGGGACGCTCGACGGGGTCGGTTCTGCCTTTGGGACGCTCGACGGGGTCGGTTCTGCCTTTGGGACGCTCGACGGGGTCGGTTCTGCCTTTGGGACGCTCGACGGGGTCGGTTCTGCCTTTGGGACGCTCGACGGGGTCGGTTCTGCCTTTGGGACGCTCGACGGGGTCGGTTCTGCCTTTGGGACGCTCGACGGGGTCGGTTCTGCCTTTGGGACGCTCGACGGGGTCGGTTCTGCCTTTGGGACGCTCGACGGGGTCGGTTCTGCCTTTGGGACGCTCGACGGGGTCGGTTCTGCCTTTGGGACGCTCGACGGGGTCGGTTCTGCCTTTGGGACGCTCGACGGGGTCGGTTCTGCCTTTGGGACGCTCGACGGGGTCGGTTCTGCCTTTGGGACGCTCGACGGGGTCGGTTCTGCCTTTGGGACGCTCGACGGGGTCGGTTCTGCCTTTGGGACGCTCGACGGGGTCGGTTCTGCCTTTGGGACGCTCGACGGGGTCGGTTCTGCCTTTGGGACGCTCGACGGGGTCGGTTCTGCCTTTGGGACGCTCGACGGGGTCGGTTCTGCCTTGGCACCACTCGACGGGGTCGATTTCGCCTTTGGGACGCCTGACAGGGTCATTTCCACCCTTGGGACACTCAGTGAGGTCATTTCCTCCTTGGAGACACCCAACAGGACGGGTTCCACCTTGGAGACGCTCAGCGGGTTTGGTTCCACCTTGGAGACACTCAATGGGGTCAGTTCCTCCTTGGAGACACCCAACAGGACGGGTTCCACCTTGGAGACGCTCAGCGGGTTTGGTTCCACCTTGGAGACACTCAACGGGGTCGTTTCCACCTTGGAGACGCCCAACAGGACGGGTTCCACCTTGGAGACGCTCAGCGGGTTTGGTTCCACCTTGGAGACACTCAACGGGGTCGTTTCCACCTTGGAGACGCCCAAGAGGGTTCTGTCTAACTTTGGGATGCCCAATGGGCTCATTTCCACCCTGGAGACACCCAGTCGGGTCGTGTCCACCTTTGGGACACCCAGTAGGGTCACGTCCTCCTTGGAGACACTCCATGGGGCCACGTCCACCTTTGGGACGCTCAGTGGGGTTGTTTCTACCTTGGTGACGCCCAACGGGGTCACATCCGCTTTGGAGATGTCCATCAGGGTCGTTTCCACCTTGGAGATGGTCAGTGGGGTCGTGTCCCCCTTTGGGATGCTCAACGGGGTCACGTCCACCTTGGAGACGCTCATCGGGGTCAGAGCTGCCTTTGGGACACTCAGTGGTGCCGTGTCCACCTTTGGGACATCCAGTGGGGTCATGTCTGTCCTGGAGACACCCAACGAGGTCGTGTCCATCCTTGAGCTGCTCAGCGGGGCTGTGTCCACCTTGGAGATGCCCTGCAGTGTGGGTCCCCCTGTGGGGACAGGGTGTCTCAGCGGAGCCAAGACACCTCTGGAGACGCTCAGAGGGGCCAAATCCCCCTCCCCTTTGGTGACCCCCATCAGTGCTGTGTCCTCCTTGGAGATGGGGACACCCAGGGGTGCCCAGTCCCCTTTGGAGAGGCTCAACAGGGCCACGTCCCCCTTGGAGACATCTGGTGGAGCCGTGTCCTCCTTGGAGGCACCCTGCAGGGTCATAGCCAACTTGGAGATGCTCAACGGAGCCCTATCCACGTTGCAGATGCTCAGTGGGGCCCTATTGCCTTTGGAGATGCTCAGTGAGGTCGTGTCCACGTTGGAGACGCTCAACGGGACCGTGTTGACTTTGGAGATGCTCAGTGAGGTCGTGTCCACGTTGGAGATGCTCAGAGGGGTTGTGTTGACTTTGGAGACGCCCAACGGAGCCATGTCCACCATGGAGACGCTCAGTGGGGCTGTATTAACTTTGGAGATGCCCAATGAGGTCGTGTCCATGTTGGAGACACTCAATGGTGCCGTGTTGACTTTGGAGATGCTCAGTGAGGTCGTGTCCACGTTGGAGATGCTCAACGGGACTGTGTTGACTTTGGAGATGCTTAGTGAGGTCGTGTCCACGTTGGACACACGCAACGGGGCCATGTTGACTTTGGAGATGCCCAATGGGGCTGTGTCCACGTTGGAGATGCTCAATGGGGCCATATTGACTTTGGAGATGCTGAATGAGGTCATGTTCATGTTGGAGACGTTCAACGGGACCATGTTGACATTGCAGACGCCCAGTGGGGCCCTGTCCACGATGCAGACGCTCAATGGGGATGCGTTGACGTTGGCGACACCCAATGAGGTCGTGTCCACCTTGGAGACACCCAGTGGGGCCAAGTCCACGTTGGAGACGCTCAACGGGACCACGTTGACTTTGGAGATACTCAGTGAGGTCGTGTCCACGTTGGAGATGCTCAACGGTGCCGCGTTGACTTTGGAGATGCTCGACGAGGTCGTGTCCGCGTTGGAGACGCTCAACGGGGCTGTGTTACCTTTGGAGATGCTTAGTGAGGTCGTGTCCACGTTGGAGATGCTCAACGGGGCCGCGTTGACTTTGGAGATGCTTGATGAGGTCGTGTCCACATTAAAGACATTCAACGGTGCCATGTTGACTTTGGAGATGCTCGATGAGGTTGTGTCTACGTTGCAGACACTCAATGGGGCCACGTTACCTTTGGAGATACTCAATGAGGTCGTGTCCACGTTGGAGACGCTCAACGGTGCCGCGTTGACTTCGGAGATGCTCAGTGAGGTCGTGTCCACGTTGGAGATGCTCAACGGGGCCGCGTTGACTTTGGAGATGCTTGATGAGGTCGTGTCCACATTAAAGACATTCAACGGTGCCATGTTGACTTTGGAGATGCTCGATGAGGTTGTGTCTACGTTGCAGACACTCAATGGGGCCACGTTACCTTTGGAGATACTCAATGAGGTCGTGTCCATGTTGGAGACGCTCAACGGTGCCGCGTTGACTTCGGAGATGCTCAGTGAGGTCGTGTCCACGTTGGAGATGCTCAACGGGGCCGCGTTGACTTTGGAGATGCTTGATGAGGTCGTGTCCACATTAAAGACATTCAACGGTGCCATGTTGACTTTGGAGATGCTCGATGAGGTTGTGTCTACGTTGCAGACACTCAATGGGGCCACGTTACCTTTGGAGATACTCAATGAGGTCGTGTCCATGTTGGAGACGCTCAACGGTGCCGCGTTGACTTCGGAGATGCTCAGTGAGGTCGTGTCCACGTTGGAGATGCTCAACGGGACTGTGTTGACTTTGGAGATGCTTAGTGAGGTCGTGTCCACGTTGGAGATGCTCAACGGGGCCGCGTTGACTTTGGAGATGCTTGATGAGGTCGTGTCCACATTAAAGACATTCAACGGTGCCATGTTGACTTTGGAGATGCTCGATGAGGTTGTGTCTACGTTGCAGACACTCAATGGGGCCACGTTACCTTTGGAGATACTCAATGAGGTCGTGTCCATGTTGGAGACGCTCAACGGTGCCGCGTTGACTTCGGAGATGCTCAGTGAGGTCGTGTCCACGTTGGAGATGCTCAACGGGACTGTGTTGACTTTGGAGATGCTTAGTGAGGTCGTGTCCACGTTGGAGATGCTCAACGGGGCCGCGTTGACTTTGGAGATGCTTGATGAGGTCGTGTCCACATTAAAGACATTCAACGGTGCCATGTTGACTTTGGGACATGTCATTGGGGGGGGTCTAGTGGGTCGTCCAGGGGGTCAGAGGGGGTCCCAGGTGTCCCCAAGGGGTCAGGGAGGTCCTCAAGGGAGGTCAGGAGGGCCCAGGTGTCCCCAAGGGGTCAGGAAGGTCCTTAAGGGGGTCAGGAAGGTCCTAGGTGTCCCCAAGGGGTCAGGAAGGTCCTTAAGGGGGTCAGGAAGGTCCTAGGTGTCCCCAAGGGGTCAGGAAGGTCCTTAAGGGGGTCAGGAAGGTCCTAGGTGTCCCCAAGGGGTCAGGAAGGTCCTTAAGGGGGTCAGGAAGGTCCTAGGTGTCCCCAAGGGGTCAGGAAGGTCCTTAAGGGGGTCAGGAAGGTCCTAGGTGTCCCCAAGGGGTCAGGAAGGTCCTTAAGGGGGTCAGGAAGGTCCTAGGTGTCCCCAAGGGGTCAGAGAGGTCCTTAAGGGTGTCAGAAGGGTCCTAGGTGTCCTCGAGGGAGGTCAGGAGGGTCCTAGGTGTCCCCAAGGGGTCGGGGAGGTCCTTAAGGGGGTCCCAGGTGTCCCCAAGGGGTCAGAGAGGCCCTCAAGGGGTCCCAGGTGTCCCCAAGGAGTCAGGGAGGTCCTCGAGGGAGGTCAGGAGGGTCCTAGGTGTCCTCAAGGGGGGCCAGGAGGGTCCTAGGTGTCCCCAAGGGG